TAATTAAACAGCAGGATCTTGTTCTACTTCGCCTTTCATTTGTAAATCAACTTATAGTAAATAGTTGACAACTATTTTTTGCCAAATAGATGAGTCTACGTAGTAATATTCATTTAAAGACTTCGTACAAAAACTAGACATTAAACGTTTAGAGATTTAATCCTGAATACCTCGTTCAACCACAAATTATTAGATATTGACTTTTACATTCATAGGAAATAGTCTGGTTATGTAATTTACATTCATTCTTAACATTGACACTGCAGTTTTTGGAATTTTATAGCTGTTTGTTCATTAATTATTTAATTATAAAATTGATTTCAAGGTCAATTCGTATTATGAGGAATAAAAAGAATAAAAATTTGTTTTACGTTAAGTCTAAGTTTTACTTGCACAAAACACTGTAATTATAGCAATGTATTTACTCATGTTGTTGCTTTTATTGAAACATTTTTTAATGTAGGTATCTTATGTAATTATGTAATGATTTTTGTTCCCAATTTGTAATCTGGTCATTACAGCATGCTTTGCTTTTCCATTTTCGTTATTTATTCCTAGAAAAGTATTGCATCTACATCGATCTAATTTTATTGCATGTGAATCTTTTCCTATCACCAATCCTTCTGAATACAGAAAATAATCACTTAGAAGGTTACCGAAAGATGTACCGTTGGGTGAAATAAGTTCCGTCTATTTTCGACCACCCAGGATAAGTAAAGACATATCTCTATTGAAATATTTCTCTATAAAAGGCATATCTTTTCAGTTTTGTATCATTGGAACGATAACACAGCAAGGTCAAACGGCACATATCTTAGTGAAAAAAGGGATTATCCACAGTAGAATACTAACACCACAATTTCAACAAGATGAAAGCAACAACAATTAAAGTGCAGATGAGGCAAGAAAACATTAGAGTCACCTTCGCATACGTAAGGCCCCGAGATCCAATAATTGACATATGACCTGAACGCCTTCCTAAATTTAACAGAACTAATTATAGGAGACTTAAACGCAAGATCCCCAAATCAGAATGACAGAGCTACAAACAGAAATGAAAGATTTTTCAGTAACTACATAGAAAACAACGATAAGACCATGGCAATAGGGTTTATCAAATCGACATATTTTTAAGGAAATGCTCAACCAACCTATTTAGATATTGTAGTAGAAAAAAACCTAGTAATGCAAACAAAATCAAGACACTAAATGAAAGAACAGCAGACCACAACCCCATACTTTTGGAATTAGGATCATGGGAAGAAAATACCACAGAAAAAAGAACCAGAAAAAAAACAAAATAGCCAAACTATAAAATACTTGTAAGTATTAAAATAAAAAACGTCCAAGTGATCAATAACCCAGAAAAAAATAGATGAAACAGTCCTGGAATTTTAAAACATTATACAAGAACCACTTAGACCAGCACTACAGAAGTAAAAACAGAAATAATCATGGAAAGATTTAGAGACATAAATCAGGAAATAAAAGATATGATACGAGAAAAGAACAGAGCCAAAAAAGAGCTAGAAAAATAAGAAACCAGGAGGACAAAAACATTGCAAATCAGCTAAACAGAGAAGTAAAAACGGCATATACAAGAACACCGTAGCCGAAACTGGAAAAGCCACATTCAAAAGACGGAAAGAACAAGGCTTAAAGATGCAAAATTATTGGAGACTGCAAAAAATTTTAAGAATCGACTAAAAACCCATCCCAATACACAACGAAAATGGAATAGTCTACTCTAAGAGTGCACACTAAACTATCACCAAGACGAAGACATAGACTTAATCGAAGGAGACGAAGAACAAAAAGAAGGGCCCGAGGAACCAAACAAAAATATCCCTCCAACATCTTCATAGAAAATAACTGAACTTATCAAAAACAGTTTACCAAATAAAGCACCTGGTTTAGACGAGATAACAGACTCTTCCCAAATCGATGAAACGAAGGCCACGTATATATTCCTACAAAATTACAGACCGATTAGTCTACTCCTCTGCAATCAGCAAAATTGTGGAAAGAATCATACTAAGCAGACTCTGGAACAGACCGACTAAGATTAATATCTGCTCAGTTCGGCTTCAGAGCAGAACACTCTAAAGAGCTACAAGTACTCAGATTAACAGAGTACATAACAGCCGGATATAATGACAAACAATACACAGGACCAGCCTTCCTAAATAAAAGTAAGTAAGGCATTTGACAAAGTCTGGAGTAAAGGTTTAAGATATAAAATGAGAGAATACATGTACTGTGAGGCTATGACACGACTGGTCATGTCGTATTTCGCTAACCGGAGCTTCAGAATTCGAATAGAAAAAGTCCTGTTCGAACTCGGAATTGTCACCCTTACTGTATACAATATATACAGCCGACGTTCCAAGAACACCAGAAATACTACTAAACCTTTATTCTGACGATACAACAATTGCGGCAGAACATGGGAACACCGACATAGCGATAGACAATCTACAAACAGCACTAGACAGCATAGAATAATGGAACATACAGTGGGAAAATTGCCATTTACTCCGAAAAAACACAAGCTGTTCTCTTTATAAAACGAAGAAGTAACCCAGTACAAAAAGCACCAGTAGCCAGAGCTGCAATAAGAGCACTCGCATGTAGGAAAAAGTAAACTACGTACAAAAACAAAACTAAGACTGATAAAGAGCATCGTATTATCCATATTAACTCATGCATCTTTCGCATGGGGACACATTAGCGAAGCATAAAGAAAAAAGATACAAGCAGATCACAATAACTGGCTACGTGAAGCACTAAACGAGATACGTCGCAAACGTTTCGTTTACAGAGATCTTGAATACATTATAGTGATAAACACGATGGTCGAAAAAGCTAGAGTAAAGTTCGCAAAACTGGAAAACCATCCAAGCTCGAAACAAAAAAGCGAAAGCAAACAAAAATAACTAACAAACCTTCCAAAACCTGGGCACAAAGGGCCCATATCCTTGATCACCAAGCCCATAGCGGAGACTTCCCAAAACCAAAACCATCCAAGCTCGAAACAAAAAAGCGAAAGCAAACAAAAATAACTAACAAACCTTCCAAAACCTGGGAACAAAGGGCCCATATCCTTGAGCACCAAGCGAGCCGAGCAAATAGCGGAGACTTGAGGCCCGAGTAGGCAATTTTAGTTAGATAATATTATGTCACTTGAAGATAACAGGTAAAAGCTTCTCACGCTAGCCTGTAATTGGTCAGGTTAGGAAACGGTGTTGAAGTTCTTGTACCCAGGACTCCCACACGAAGAGGATTTGGCTGATAGGTGTGCCGCTATCGCGCATCAAAATACTATAGGGGAAAAGGGATGGTCTGGAGCATTGGGGTGCGGTGGAGTGACTTCTGTTTATACACGAGTTAGTATATCTCGCTCCATGATGTTGCACCGAAGATTATTTCAAAGGATGCACAAGTCTCACAGGCTGGGTTAAATCAAGTTTTTTGCTTGCTTTCTTTGTTTCATTGTACGCTGTAGTTGATGTTCGACTACTATGTTTTTAAGACCTCTGTCAAGATGTAAGATATTTTTTCTCCCTTTTTGTATTCTTTACATTTTTATCTTCTGTTACTTCTTCTATTTGACTTTGTATTTTTGACGTTTAATTAGGATCCAATCTTAGTTGAACGTCAATCCAATGTTATTCCACCGTTAGTCTAAAGTTAATTAAAAATGTAGTATTAGTTAATTCCAAAGTTACTATCAACTTAATCACCGGTAGTACCAGATTGTCGTAAGTTAATATCAAATTTATTTCAAGTTGGTAATCCTCAGGTGATCCCTTTGCGAGTTAATCCATATATGAGTTTCCCCTAATATAGCTGTCATCTTTTCTCCTGTTCACATAGAGGCTCCCTTGTATTCAAGATTTGTCTGAAACAAAGATTAATATCAGATAACAACATAAGCTTGATTCAGACTTGACCAAGTTTGTACAAGAAGTTTCAAGTTTGTTATGTCAATTGTACACACTTGCAGCAATTTTAAATCAAACTTGCTAGTTACAATGCGACAAACTTGTTTAAGGTTTCTTTTTATTAAGAATATACAATATTGATTTTACAAACTCGCATAAGATTTGTTTTGACACACTAGCTACAGTTTTGTTACAAGAAGAGGAAGACCCAGACCAGACCCAGGTTACTTGATAACATCGATAAAGACATAAGAAATATGGGAGTAGCACTTACTCTTTTTGTATTAGGACGATTTGGACAGTTGCTGGATCTTCCTGCATTCCAAATTCGTATTGGTATTCTCCTATCACTCATTGTGAGAATTGTTCCAGTTTTATTTCTACATACTTTGCCAATAATTTGTATCCTTTCTTTAAGTGCCGTGTACCTATAGTGCGTTGGCGAATTATGTTAGGGCTAGATGTCTATTATTTGCGACATGACAGACCTTTTTACCACACTCAGAGCCTTTAAATGCCTCCGCAAAAACATTCTTCACATACGTTAAACAGTACAGGAGACAAGATTACTTTTTTAATAGATATCTTATACCCATTATTTACATAGAAACGTTTCAGTAATTAACTTAATAATTTTTATATTTATCTAAAAACAATATATTCTTATTATTTTGTACACAATTGCTTCGTAAAAATATTTTTTGATCAACAAACAAATACATCGCTAAAATAATTGAAGATCCTGTTAATCTACAAACTAATTAACACACACCTATAGCGAAAATAACAAGATTCGAAAATGTGCAAATTCCAGACGAATAATTATAATACAATTTCGATACACTCGTTGACTCTCAGAATCTGCCCAGGGTAAATGCTTCGTTGCATTTTTCATCTACTTTCATGATTCCACCATTATGAATCTTTTCCCTTTCATCTAATCATAAAAAATGAGACATATAAATAGAGAGAGGCGAACTTGAAAGTTCACAACACTTTTGGATTTAGTTCAGTGCAAATCTAGCCAAAAGCTAGTTCCAGTCACATACTCACACCATGGCTTCTCGATTTTTGGTAAGTCCGCAAATTATACATATTTAATAAGAGGCAAAAACATCCGTTATTTTATCTAATTTAATAGTGCTTTATTAGAATTTATATCGCAGAACTAAAGATCTCATTTAAATTTTATTAGTTTATTAATTTTTTATTTATCAAATATTTTCTGCTGTTTTGTAATTTGTTTAATTTAACGGTAATTTTTTTAATGATTATAGAATTTTTTTAATTATAAATATTTTCTACTAGTTGTTTAATAAAACATAATATCATACAGAGCATACATTATTATTAGTCGTCAATTTTTTAGCTTTAATTATTTTCTGATTTTGAATGGTTTTATGAATTATAACAAATAAAAATGCATTATATAAGTATATTAAAATATAACTTTTTTGCTTTTACCTAACATTAAAAACTATAATTGCTTAATATTTATAGATATTTTATTAGTCAAAATGGCTTGTGTTTTATTTGTAATATTGTTTTAAAAGTCCAGTTTATTTATTAATTTAAAAAAAATGCAATAGCTAAAGGCTTGTTAGTTAGTTGGTATTAAGTTTTACAATAAAATTGTGGTGAAATCCATCGTAAATCTTTTATTTACCAAATAATTTAAATGTTTTACTGCCACAATAATTGGTTTTGATATACACGAAGACATTGGAGCATAATTTTGTTTATCTGATTTTTTTGGCATATCGCTGCCAGTTTTTCATCTGATGCCTTTTCATTGGATAACAAGTCATCAAATTTTTGATCATTTTTTCATTATTGCTGAATTACAGTATGAAAAAGTTTTTGTTGCCCCCAAAAATTAAATTATATACTATAAATTGTTAATATATAAAAAATATGTACGTCAAGAAATTCAAAGAACTATCCAAGACGTTATCTTCAGTACTTCCTGGATTTTATTACATTTTTTGTCTTTTTACAAATACGTAAGTCTTTGAGTTTTGCCAATTTTGTGTTTTTGTTGTTTTTCGGCAAATCCCTTCTATGTCATTTTTATTCTACTAATTTTCATCAATTTTGCTTCTAATCATATTTTCTACCTTCTTTTCAATATTTTTTAACTGCAGAATCCCATATGACCTAATGGTGACCAATATTTGCAGACTCAACCACAACTAAGTCATCTGTTGTGTTTCTATGAACAATTTAATTAGTTATACTTTAAATCTCTCGTATGGTTCATCTCTCATTACTTTGGCATCTTATCATTTTTACTTTCACTCTCTTACTAAGATTAATACTATTATAACAATTAATGTTAAACTCATCAGGCTTCCGGGTTGGACCACCATGAATTATCACTGGGACGAGCTTTCGACATCCTCTCTGATGTCTTCTTCAGGGCTTTCGAGGTCTCAGTCTCCTCAGTCCACAAACACTACGATGCTGTTCACTACTCACTGCACTTGTAGTATCTTTTTCATGTTTTGTGAGAAAAAAAAACTATTGTAATATTTGTGAGAACTTATTCTTGAGATAAGAAGCTGACTGGTTTGTCCAATATATACTCCATCGCAGTTTTGGGCAGGCAATATCATATACAACGTGCATTTTTTTATTGAGGGGTTTTCAACTTTAGTTTGGTACAATTCCTTTTCAAAAGATTGTACCCTGTATGAGCAACTCTAATGTTATGTTCAAAGCAGATGATGTGCAAGTTGTTCTGATAACCCTTTTATATAGGGAAGAGACATATACTTAAAAAAAACTTACAATGAAGAGAAAACTTCCTTTGTTGTTTGCTGTTATTCTTCGATGATGTGATGGGAATATAAATTAAGTGCTTTTTTTGCATATTTATGCCAGGAGTCTATTGTTAAGGTCGCATAATATAATAGCTCTGTTGATGCCGATAATTACTGATTGTTTGTAAACAAGGGATAATAAAAGTTGAAAATTCAATATTTTGACGAAGAGGTTTGTTTAGTGTACCATAATGTGGTTATTGTACTATATTCTCTACGTAAAGTCAGGTACAGAAAATTGATTTGACAATTTTTTTCAACTTCTAATGTAACTTTGATTTTTGGTGAAAGTTATTGAATTCATTTAAGAGAATATCCATTTTATCCTCTAGTGTTACATTCAGACAGTCATCTACAAACGAGAGAACAAATTATTTTTCTTAATCTATTTTAGAACAATTTCTTGGTGCTCTATAACTAATGGCGCGATAGATATGCTAGCGCCCATAGCAAATCTATCTGTTTGTCGGAAGCTTTTTTTTTATATAGGAAATATATTAAGCTTTCTTTAAAAATGTATTCATACAATTCCGGAGCTTACCTGCTAATGATATTCCTCGGTAATTATTTTTCTTTTTTTAAACTAGAAATGGAAATAGATTTTCTATTTTCATTTGAACTACAAGTTCTTTCTATATTTTAATTCATTGTATTTTTTTTATGTATATATATCTTCACTTTTTCGTTTCTTTTTTATGCTGATATTTAATTCCATCATCTTCTTGTTCTTGAAGTATTATTGCCATTATTAAAAGCTATCAACAATAGAGGCGTAGGTCTGTCGATTTTGATAACTCTAGTATCAATATTGTGTTCATGTTTTTTCAGTCTAGATATTTTTAGTCATCCAGCCTTTTCTTCTGTTTTATTCTATATTATTAATTGTCGTATATCTTTATATTGGTTGCAATTAAATTCTTCAAGATAGTTTTTTTCAACTTTTCGAAGAACTTCCTTATTTTCCATGTATCGTATTCGACGATTTTTTTTAGAATCCTTCTAAACATCATCTATATCTTAAATGCGCCAAACCTATTTGTGGTATATAGAACATTCTGCGTTTTTAAATATTTCTTATACTAGTTTGGTTTTAATTTATGTTCTAACATCTGGATCAAGGTTTTTGATTTGAAACCTTCTTCTTCTTAACATGCCATACACCAAAGTGCGTAGGCGACTATCTCATTACTAGAATTCTGTTCTTGGCGGCGTGACACAGCTCACCTGTATTGTGTATTCCTGTCCATTCTTTAATATTCCTTAACCAGGACCAATTGTTTCGGCCGGCTCCTCTCTACCTTCGATCTTCCCTTGTAGGATTAACTGTGGTATTTCATATTTTGCTCCTCTCAATATGTGCCCAAGGTAACCAATCTTGCGTTTTTTAATTAATTCAAAGAGTTCTCTTTCCACGCCGGCTCTATTAAGGACGTCATCGTTTCGAACTCTATCCACCCAAGGTATGCGCATCATTCTTCTCAATGACACATTTCAAATGCTTCAAGTTTGTTGATAGATGTTTTTTTCAAAGTCCACGTTTCCATGCCATAAAGCAAGATGGACATATGTAGCACTTGACCATTCTGTAGCGTATTTCGAAGTTTAGGTGTTGATTACATAGGAGCGGTCTGAATTTCACAAAAGCTTGTCTTGCCATTTGTATTCGGGTTTTTATCTCGTGTTGTGGATCCGATTGGTCATTGATTGTGGTGCAAGGTATTTAAAAGTTTTCACGCGATTTATACGATTGTCACCTATGCATAATATCGGGTTTTCTGGAGGGTTTCTGCTAATGACCATATATTTCGTTTTCAAAATGTTGATTTTGAGGCCATATTTTTTACCTATGCTATTCACCCTATCAAGTAATAACTGCTGATCTTCCAAATTATCAGTTATAATCACTGTGTCGTCCGCATAGCGTAGGTTGCTAATTGGTATGCCGTTCACCTTAATGCCTAATTCCGTACCGATCTATCTGAATTTGCCTCCTTCTGCTTCTTGTGCTCTGCTCGGTCATCGTGGGTTAGCCATCAAATTTGCTATACTAATTTTTTTGACGGCAGCTTCTTACTCCAGGTTTTTTTCCATTCTTTCCAATGTAGAGCATCATGTCAACATGGTTTTATTTTACTAGTTTTGTTGAATGATGTTTCGGAATGTTGTTAAAAGCTTCATTAATCCATACTTTGATTCATAGCCTTGTTTTTATTAATATTATATATTATTAATCTATATTGTATAGAAATATTAAATATTATAACCTTCTTCTTCTTCTTCTTCCTCTTCAGTGTAATTCCTAGGTATTTTATTTCCATTACTTGTTCAATATTGATGACATCAATTTCTATTTTACATCTGGTTAGTTCTTTGCTGACTACTATTGTTTTAGTTTTCTGAGATGAGATTGTCATATTATTCTCTTTTGCTCTTATGTTAAATGTGTGGATCAGTCCTTGCAGACTATCTTTATCTTAGGCTATCAATATTGCGTTTTCTGCATAACAGAGTATTTTTATTTCTTTGTTTCCCATGCTGTATACTCTTCTTTTGGTAATGCTTTTGATGATTGCATCCATGATCAAATTAAAGATCATGGGCTCAATGAGTCCCCTTGTCTTATTCTGCTGCCTATTTCTATAGGTTCTGTAAGTTTTCCATCTATTCTGACTTCCATTTTGTTGTTTCGGTAGATGTTTTCGATAGTTTTTATAATATTTAGGAAAACTTTTCTATTATATAGAAAATGGATTACATCTTTGAGCCTTACTCTGCCAAACACTTTCTTTAGGTCAATCAGACACAGAAATGCTGGTCTATTATACTCTAATAAAATAATATATTATTTTGACAAATTATATGCTATAGAAAAAATTGTAAAAGCTAATTATATTGTTAAATTTTTATTTCAGATTGCTTCATTCCTGGTGTTAACCCTTCTAGGACTCTGTTTAGCAGGTGGTCACGGAGGAGGAGAGTAAGTAATAATAATCACTCCCTAATTATTTGTATTTTGATGATCAATTATTTATATTAACAGTACAGTACATACACTTGGTGTATCAATTAATTTCAAGGAACTCAATACGTCAGTTTTTGTTACAAAATGTTCATAGCTACCTATAAAATCCAATAATAGTATATGTATTTTGTACAAGAAATTATTTTGATGGTTGCAGTGAACAAATTCTAAAAAATATCAAAGAATTTTTAATGCTTAATGAAATACCTGTGTGAAATAGGTGTTTCTGTTCTTGGTAGAATATAATGAAAATCATAGTTTTATTACTTCCAGAACCAGATATATTACTTGCTTTGCTAAAATTAATAGAACCAAAGAACTGAACAAATCTGATATTTATAACATAAAATGTTTACTAAACTTCCCACTAAACTAAATACAATAGACGTATGACCCGTATTTCTGTATCTTAATAGTATTACTACTAATAATGTCCACAGTTTTAACACTATTCCTTCTCTCCATCTAATGAGATTTATATCCTGCTAATCTCCATCTTGCAAATTTCTTCTTTTCATTGTCTTCTACTCTATTTCTAAGAAATTTTTGAGAAAATGCCAAGTCCAAGAAGAATGCATGGCTTAAAAACTTTGGTTTTGAGGAAATGGTTTAACAGATCCTCTGCATCCCTTTTCGGAGCTCCTGTCAACAAATAATCCAGCGCACAATAATCCAGTATGGTAGAGAAAGAAGAAGATTTTTGAGGTCTTGCATCTGAGCATCTTGAGACCACTATTCGGACATATCCATATCAGGCTAGTCTTTTTTCTCGATAAAATCTATTATATCGGAATTTATTCCCATATTTCACTTCCTATCAACTTATTTCATTTTGATTTTTATTAAAATATATTGACTTTGTTATTATAGCTTAGTTGAAAATCGATTGTGAACTCAAATGACTTACAAGCATACAAATCCATTGTTTAAAGATTGCATTACATATGAAACTGCTAAAAAGTATTTAAAGATTAGTTTAGACACCAGAGCTAAATCCTTTTGATACCGTAGGTATCTGGATAAGGGCATTTCCACACAGAGGGAGTGTGACCCGTATGGCTAAATCTGATTAAAGTTAATTAACGGACTTGCCTGATCAAGTAAATGAACTCTTCCAACTATTTGGTGTTGCTAATTACGTAACGTTTTGCTCTGCATTAACTATAGAGACTAATTATTGCAGCGCAAGTTTAGATCAGAAATTTATTAAGTATTCACGTCAGAAAGTTTATCTTCTTATTATTTTAATATAATGCCAAAGACAGTCTTCGAAAATTCTTGAGTAAATTTCATAAATCAGCTTTATATGACATATTTAATTGAAATATATTTACTATATGTCCTGATGATATCTTCTTGATACCTGTCATAAATACACACAGTTTTAAACTGTGGGATACATACAGTACCTTACAGTTTCTTTAACTACATTTTTATAATTCTTTCCTACTCCTTCGAGAGACTTCCAATCACACAATTCCTCGTATTAGCTGATAATTTCTACTTTGAACATGCCCTAATCATCTTGACTCACGTTCTCTCTTTTCAGCATCAATTGGTGCCACTTCTGGACTTTATCTAATATATTCGTTCTTAATTTTAGCATATTTTGACACTTCAGTTACCAATCGAAGCTTTTTTAGTTTTGCCACATTCCAGCATCATTGGTGAAGCTTTTGACTTCTTCTTCTGCTAGTGCCTATCCTCTATGGATGTTGGCTATCACAATGGCCCATCGTATTTTATTAGCAGCTGTTCGAAATAGGTCTGTAGTGGTCATACCTGTCCACTGTCTCAAATTCTTAAGCCAGGATATTCGGCGGCGTCCTGGTCCTCTATTTGCTTCTATTTTCCCTTCTACTGTCAATAGCAGGATTCTGTATTTATTTTCATTTCTCACTATATGTCTGAAGTATGCTAACTTTCTCTCTTTAATGGATTTCAAGATTCAGGTTCTTTTTGTAAACGTTGCATTACTGCGACATTAGTTATATGATGTACATATGATATTCTGAGCATGCGACGATAGCGCCACATCTCGAAAGACTGCAACCGTCTGCAAGACGCATCAGTGAGTGCCCATGCCTCTGCTCCATACATAAGAACAGAAAACACATAACAATTAAGGATTTTGAGTCGAAGATGTAAGTTCAAGGTTAAATTGTAGAGAACTGTCTTCATCTGTTGGAAGGCACTCCTTGCTTTTTTTCGATCCTACATTTAATCTCGTATGAGTGATCCCAGCTGTCTGTGATGTTGCATCCTAGGTATGTTATTTTTTCTGTTCCATCCATCCATTGTCTGCCATAAATTTTGCATCTGTATCTTGGTTATTGCTTATGATCATAATTTTCGTCTTCTTATTATTAAGTTTCATTCCATATTTTCTACCAATGTTAACTACTTGATCTATCAGTCTTTGTAATCCTTCAGCACTATCCGCAACAAGGACAGTGTCGTCTGCATATCTTAGATTATTTATTACTTCACCGTTAACAATCACGCCATCAGTCGTTTCTCCAAAGCTTCTCGAAATAGATGTTCAGAGTACGCATTAAACAGCAAAGGCGAGAGTATGCAACCTTGTCGTACTCCTCTTTGTATTGGGACTTCATCGGATAATTGATTGTCTACTCGAATCTTGGTTACTTGTTTTCTATAGAGATTGGCTATTATTCTTATATCCTTGTCATCGATGTTTGCGATTCGCAAAGTTTCAATAAGCCTCTTACGCTGTACTTTGTCAAATGCCTTTTTGAAGTCAATGAAACAGATAAAGACATCTGTATTAACATCTCTTGCTCGTTTTATCAATACTTGTATGCTAAAAAGTGCTTCTCTTGTGCCAAGAACGCTGCGAAATCCAAATTGTACATCAGCAATACCCTCCTCCAATTTCTTGTATATGCGAGCATGGTTGATGTTTAAGAATATTTAGAGTGAGTGGTTCATGAGGCTAATGATTCGATGTTCTTCACATTTCTTAGTATTTGCTTTTTTTGGCAGTGGTATAAATATGGACATGTACCAATCTTTTGGTAAAGTTCCTGTTTTATATATACGGTTAAATAATTCTGTCATAATGTCAAGTTGATTGTCTTCTATCAATTTCAATACCTCAGCATCAGGTCCTGGCGCTTTGTTGTTTTTTAGACGACTTATAGCAGATCTTACTTCTGATTTTGTTATTATTGGTCCATTGTCGACGTTGTCATATACTTCAATGTGTTGGTTGTCACTGAACAGTTCTGCTATATATTCCTGCCATCTGTCCAGTTTTTCTTGCGTATTGAATAGTATGTTTTCATCTTTATCAAACAGTGCAGTGGGCATTTTTGTTCTATTCATTCCTGCCATTTCTTTTATCTTCCTGTTTTGACAGTTTCATAGAATCTTTTCGCCATACAAAACATTACTAGCCAGCTTTCTTCCAATTAATTCGTCACGCTCTAACTCTACTAAAGGCATCAAATCCTAACATTATATTTTGACATTTTGTTTTAAATCGTTGTAAGTTCAATAAAGGTTACAATACATTTGTTTTCGTTAACCTCATCAGCTGTATATTTAGACAGATCGGCCTCTGGATATGATACGTGAATCTTGAGTAACATTGATACTTTGTTCATAAATGAATTTTCCGAGACTTAAATGTTAACTCTCCTAACAGTTAAAACTAGCTTATTACTATCAAAAAAATTAAAAAACCATATTGGACAAGTCTAAAACTACGTAGTCTTAAAAATTTCTCAATCGTTATCAACAACAGCCTGAAAATTTTGTGCTATTAGAAACTTTCGATAAGTGGCAGATGTCAATATTCAATCGTAAAATAATAGGTTTTAATATATAATTTCAATCTTTTTTAATCAAAAAAATTACCAAGCTATATTAGGCAAGTTAAAAAATAATTATATTGAACTTTTTTCAATGCTATTTACATATATCAATATCAGAACATTTTGTGTGGTTAGAAACTTTCGATAATTGACAGATGTCACTGTACCATCGTAAAATAATAGTTTTTAATGTATACTTTCAATCTGAGCCTTAAAAAATTATATTCACATACATTAATATAATAAATAGATATAAGATCAAGAGGAAAGTTGTTTATATATATTTACAAAGTAACAAGTTTAGTCAACCGAAATGGGAAGTGACCGTGACAGTCCAACAGATACAATAAAGTTATTAAAAATTCAGAGCGAAAACCTTTAATTAATTGCTATATTAGAAAGCGAATTTCTTTTTTGATGCTGTCTAGATCACTTTCACTAAAGCAGTTGAATTATGAATAATTATTTCCCAATACATTAAATCATCTACTAAATTGATAACTGCTGCTGTTCTAAGTTCGAACAAAGAGATATTTTATTCAATAGATGCATCTGGTGGCTATTTGTTGTTTATTACTGTAAATTAAGTAAATTGCGAATGTGGAAAAGGTAGTTTTTGCTGTTTTGTCATAAAATTGTCAGAGAAAGTGTACGTTTTATGATTAGTCGTTTAAATTAATACAGTTACTAATTATGTTCAAAGAAATTCAGACTCCTTTTTTATTTTAACTTTTACAATACACAAGTAGCAATTTACTCTCGAAAGATCTATTTTATGGATGATTATCTTCCAGTAAACACTTCCGAACTTAATAGAACCCGCACAAAGAATATTATTACGTGATCAGATTGTCAATATTTTTATTTTGTATCATATTTATCTACCCATTTATATTAGCTGCATTCAGACAATATTGCACAAAAGATCCCCTTCATTTTTTTTAATTTTTCTATTTTTTATTATATTTATTCACCTGTGGCTCGGCAACTTTTGAGGTCTTCCGCTCATGGCATTTATATTCTTCCTTGTTTCTCCTTCTGATTTGTGTTCGGCAAATTGGTATTTTGGCTTTGCTATTTCTGGCCTGATATTTGGTACTTTAATTTTTTCTCTAGTCCACTTATTTATTTTTTCTTTTAATGATTTATATTCGGTATTTGCCAATAGGGCTGTTAATGCTTCTAGTTATATATGTCCCCTAATCTCTATTTCTATTTTTACTTCGTCTTCATTGGGTGCTTTCTAATTTTGTAGACAACTTTGCATGTCTTCTTGGTATCCTCTGTAAACACGTCTGGACTCAAGGATTTCTTTATCAAGTATTACTGATTATCCTCTTATGTTTTTATTTTTGTAGATGTTCTTCCTGTCATGTATAAGAACTGGTTTTTCTACCGTTTTGGTGACCTGTATATAAATATATATATATATATATATATATATATATATATTATATATAATATATATATATATATATATATATATATATATATATATATTCCATGAACCTTTTTAACACCCTCTGAAATCTTCTAATTGTCATCCATCTAACTCATGGTTCTACAGTCCAATTCAAGTCCTTGCCTCTATCAGTCCAGAAATTGAAATTAGGAGAGGAGTTAGGCAGGGATGTATTATGTCCCCATTACTATTTAATGTATATAGTGAAGCCATTTTTAAAGAAGCATTACTATTTTAAAGTAAAGGAAATAATTAACGGAAGATCTATTAACAACATAAGATATGCTTATGACACCGTGATTATTAGCAAATGAGTTTTTTACCTGCGAAAAAACGCCTCGCCACTTGTAATAAAAATCCGCTTGAGGTTGATCAGCGTTTTCAGTGAAATGTAACATTCTCAGTATAGACTGAACACGATTCCTGGACATTTTCTGTAAGTTTGGATTTGTTATAGCGTGCTGCGAGCAATAGCACTGCGATAAATGAAAAAAAAATCATTTTCTGTAAGTGGCGACCAAGCAATCTTTTATTTTTGCAAACTTCCGCTGCAAGCAAAATTATTTGTTTTATGTATAATTAAATTAACGGTACCTGAATTTAGAAAGGAACAAAAAAACAATCTATTTCCCTGACAGGATTCTCAATATTGTCTAAATTGGCACCTGAATTTGTGTTATCAAACTCGTGCACGACAGGAACAAATTGCTGTTTATCCCACTGTATACTAAAACCATCCGCTAAAGCTCTTTTGCTTTTATTTCTCGATGTATTTGCAACCACAACTTTGGCTTCGTCCTTATCAGTACTTTCATTTTCAAAAATAGCTATATTACAGGCAGTTACTGAAACGCCGTGTATCATAAGCTGCCGTATCAATACGGCAGTGGGTTCATCACAATGCATGTTCGAACGTACCAATACGGGATTGGGGCTGATGGCATTGTAACAATGCCGGATAGATGCGGCAATGGGGCTGACAGAGGTTCCAAAAAAATTTTAATGCAGTATACAAACAGCATGGTATTAAAAACGTTTTCACTCGAGAACGTATATATACGTTACTGAAAACAGTGGCACGTTTCCCAAACCGTATATATATACGTCGCTGATAAAGAAAGGGTTAATATCCAAAACTAAACACTACACTATTGTTGTTCTGAAGCTATTTTCTTGTGGCATTGTAAATTAATTACTATTAAACTGGAATAAGCCACAATTAAAGATGAAAATACGTTTATTGACGTTTCAATTTCCACTTCGGAAATGTATTTTGAGAACGATTTCCGAAGTGGAAATTGAAACGTCAATAAACGTATTTTTATCTTTAATTGTGGCTTATTCCCAGTTTAATAGTAATTAACTACACTATTGATTTACTTACTTACAATTTGTCAATTTTAAACAATACTTTTATTGATCTTTTGTTATTTTTTAGACACAAACGAGTTATCATTCACGTCCCATTCAAAGTGAAGCACATTCACCACACCCACACAGTCGTCAAGCACGTCGGCCATGAAGGAGGCGGCGGCGGAGAAGAATACAAAGTCATCGGTTACTCCGGAGGCATCGACGACGGTGAAGTTGTAGCCCACGGAGGTGGAGGTGGCGGTGATTTTGGACACGGACACGGATGGGAAGGTGGAATTGGAGGAGGTAGCATTGGAGGCGGCCACGGAATCGAAATCGGGCACGCAGGTAGATAGAGCGTACATCTAACTCACTTCACTTTCTAACTGTGGGCTCTTCTTCTTTTATACTAATGTTTGTATCAGACTAATGTGTAAAAATGTTTGTGTAGAATATTCTATACTAAATTCTAGGAAAATTGTATTGTAGATAACTGTAGCTAACTACTTTATTTCGTTTGTTCATTCTAATTTCTTAATTCTTGTATTTCTATTTATAAAACATCATTATTCTTAATGTACAGTGCTCATTCACTGGTGAAGGTCTCAGTTTTGTTTCTTACAAATTGTGTTTTGAAAATAATAACAATGTAATTGCACTGTTTTATTATAATTTTCACTAATGATTAACATATTTCTTATTTTCATACACAAAATTTGAAGTTATAAGGGGATAAGTGTGTAATTTATTTGTCTACATTTTCACCTTAAGACAAAATATTTCGAGAGAAGGTTATTCTCTGAAATAATTCCTGGGGAAACATATACAACTGTCTCTTTCGTAGCTTTGAGTTTCTAGATTTAAATTCTTAGTGAAGATTTCTTGACCCCTTATCTATTTGACCCTTAAATTCTTTATTTATTTATAATTTTACTACTAATTTTAGATGTAGTGTTTTTTAGAGGTATTGAACTTTGAAATGGAAAAAAACAAAGATGATTTTTATAAATTGACTTGAAATGGACTTATTTGTCCGATTTTTTATTTTGGCATTATAATTTAAATATGATTTCTGGTATATGACCATCATGGCTGGCTCTGACGTACTCCAATCTAGAGGTCCAATTTTCGATCACTCTTTTCAATATTTGTCATCTTATATCAGCAATAACGCGGCGAATGTTGTCCCAAGTGGTCAATCGTTTTATGCTTATTAGCAGCATCTGCACGCACCTTTACATATCCCCACATAAAATAGTCTAACAGTGTTAAATCACACGATCTTGGAGGCTAATTCATGATCCGAAAGATGAAACTATGCGGTTCGCAAACGTTTCATTCAATAAATTAATTTTGGCATGAGCTGTGTAACATTTGGCTTTGTCTTATTAAAACGACAGCTCCTACACATGATGGTTGTTTAATTGGGGAATGAAAAAGCAGTAATCATGGCTCAATAGCAGTCACCATTGACTATAACGTTCTGATCAGCATCGTTTTTGAAGAAGTACGGGCCAATGATTCCACCAGCACGCCAAACAGTCAGTTTTTCTGGATGTAATGGTTTCTAAACATACATTTGAGGATTATTTTAACTCCAAATAGGGCAGTTTTGTTTGTTGACGTACCATTCAACCAAGAATTAAGCTTTATCACTAAACAAAATTCGCTTATGAAAATCGAAATCAACGGCAATCTCGTTTTGGGCCCCCTCACTGAATCTATGCCTTGCTAGGTGATGATGTACCTTTAATTCTTGCATAAGTTGGATTTTGTAAGCACGCAAAGAAAGATCTTTCCACATAATCTTCCACAAAGTGGATGGACACGTATCAAACTGCTGTGCACGATGGCAGATAGACTGATTCACGTCTTCCGGTATGCTACACTCTACAGCAGCAACAAGTTCTTCTGTACGCACTGTACGACATGTCTGTGGATGCATATTATTAGTTAGAATCAACGTGGTGCAAAAACGTTCCATGGTTAATAGAATTGCTTGCTTTAATGGACTAACCTTCATCTTTTGGTGCCTATTCGTTTCGAATATTGGCGATCATTCTGGCTATAATTATTTTATTAACTGATGCTTTAAATAGATTAGTTGTTGTTGTGGAGAACCATTTCCCCAGGTTTTTTAACTCACGATATTTTTTTTCTCCCAATTTCTCGCTTTCCGAATACTTTGCCTTGAAGGATTATTTTTAGTAATCTGTATTTAGTGCCGTTTCTCATTATGTGTCCGAGATATTCTAACTTTCTCTTTTTAATGGTATACATCACTTCTCTTTATTTCCCATTCTTCGTAGTACAGTCTCGTTGGTTATCTTGTCCGTCCATGATATCCTTAGGATACTTCTGTATAGCCACGTCTCGAAGGCTTCAAGTTTTTCCTCCATCGCTTCAGTGAGTGTCCAGGATTCAACTCCGTAGTATAATATCGAGAAGATATAACATCGTAGGAGCCCATTTATGGTGAAATGCCAAACCCAACTTAACATAAATCACTGGACAGCTGTCAAAATGGCCGACAGTTAAGACAGTGTTACCAACTTACATTTTTATACCTCTAAAAACACACCCTTTATTTAGTATACAAGATGTATCATATTTTTGTTTATTTTTGATTACTCTGTTACCTTTTAACTATCTACTATGTTTTCTAGAAAATAACTGTTATTCGTATTCTTATTTCTCATTTAAAGAAAATATGACTGCAGCATGTTTTTTCTCTAATATCAGGAGTGATGTCCCATAAATTCCTATAAAAATTTATATATTTCTTTTCTGTGCTAAAAACAATTCTGCTATGGTTGTGTAGTATTTTCTCGTCCTCATTTTTTCTAATAGAATTTAATACAATAGGGCACGATACACAAATAAAGCCAGTTTAAAAACAGAGAAATTTAAGTGAATTAGCACTGTATTTAATCTCCTAAAAAATCTATGGTTTGGTAAACTATAACCATAATTACTATACTTATAATAAACTCTAAACCCCAAAAATATATGAGAAATACAGCACTTGGCTTAAGTTTAGTCAAATTAAGTAGATGTATAACTTATATTATTATAACTTATATAACCTATAATTTTGTATCTCAGCCATTTATTGCCAACTTCATTCCTTTTAATTTTATTAGTTCTCCTCTTCATTGTACTATTCTATTTTTGGTTACTGTCTTAAAAAACTTACGTGCATAGTTCATGCAACACAATAATTATCTCAACTAAAATTTTCTTTTTACTATAAGTCCATTAAATACCATAACAGTTAAGATATAAATTTAAAAAAAATTAAAAAAAAATTGATATACTAAATAATTCATTTATTTTTTTAATATTTTTTTAAGTTATTTCTTCCCTTTGTTCATTAAGCTGTACAATTATTGATGGTTTAGGAAGAAACATATACTATGTGAAAATTAATAATATACCTGCAACAAATATTACTGATTTTTCAAAAATTTATATCGAACAAATAGACAAAATTATTTCTGTTCAAAAATCTACAATTTGCAACCAATCTAAAGCCAGGTGACTAGTTTCTCATTTTTTATTTTTCTGTTTGTATATAGATAAAATTGTACCTGTTTTTGTTAAACTTTTATTGTTAAATAAATTTACTAAATAAGAAAATCGTTTTCTTAAACAGTTGATCGTATTACGAATAATACAGATCTAAATTTACAATTATAACAAAAGTAATGTGAAAGTCCTTATTTAAGACTCATTAACAATATTTTTCGTGCAATAAAAAATATATGGTTCATTCCATACTTCAAATTTTGCCATGCTATGATACAAGTCCTTTTTTTTTCAGTTTTTATGACTTTCAAATGCATCAGCTAATTTCATGATCTATTTTTCTACGGTTCTCCGAAAATTTTGGTTTTACTTCCATGGGAAAGTCTTGTCACTGCTTTCTGCTTCTAATTTTCACTAACTACTTTTCTTACTGTCGATAGAACTGATCCAACGACTGTCTAAATCAGCACTTACAGTTACCGCCCAATACGTTTTTATCTGGAGCTTTTTCTTCTATAGTATGTGTACTGATTTACCATCTTTCCTCTTGAAATGAATGTTTTACTCCTGAATAGATATATAATCTTTTTAAATCTTAGGTTATCCACCAATTTGAATTTTTTAGTGACCTTTTTGTCACTCAATATTTTTAATTTTTGTCTTATTTATTAATTCGTCTTCTTCATTCAAGATCTATTTACTATAGCTAAATCAAATTTCTACATCTTCTTAAGGAGCATCTTGATCTACTTCTCTTGGGTTTATAATTTAGCATTTTTTTAATGATTTTCATCCATTCGCTTTATATGATTTGTCCATTTTGTTGTTTCCCTGAATTTTATCTCTCATTCTAAATATTTGTCTCTATTTTAGCTTTTGTCCATTCAAAACAACGTCCAATTCAGTTCTATTCATCTATGAGCTGTTGCTCTCTCACTTGCTCTCAGTTATCTACGTGTTGTTTCTATCCTTTCTTCTTTTTTATAAGACGTATTAGCATTATACGACGTTGGTTATTACTATATCTAAAACTTTAAAATGTTTTCTCATTTTCAACTTTTTAGTTTGATTCATTGTCCATGTCGATTCTTTCAGAATCCCTACTTTCACTCAATATAGCCCAACCTAGACATAACTGATTATTCTTTGTCTTAGTTCTATACTAAAATGACCATTTCAAAGAAATGTTACTTAAAAAAATATAATCATTGAAATTTTGTATTTTTGTGATTTTGTCAAGTCTTTTGTCAACATCATTTATAATAAAATGATTTAAAAAGGCTGTTAAAATATGTTTTATGAGTCACAATTTTATGAATCTTTAGTGAGTTTTGTCTCTAGTTTGGCTTACATATTACTGGTACATAAGGCGTCTCATTTAAACGCTAGTACAGCATCCATCTGGCTCATTGTACATTACTGTTGGCTATATTTCTACTCTATTGTGAGTTATTATCAATCTATTTTTAGATACTCCCTGGTCCTTTTCTCTTGTCTCTACTCAGCATTCTTGTCGTTTATATTTTATCAGAATGTTCGTTTTATCCTTCCTTATATTTATATAGTTCTAATATTTTCTTGATCATCATCATTCTGGCTTTACAACCCTGAGTCCTAGCCTCCTCATGAAATCTTCATCGATGTTATCGAAGCCTAATATCTTCTTTATCCTGGATTTATATAAAAATATATTTTCATCTGGACCTATATTCACCGCCCAGTACAAGTGGATAGCTGTTTCAAAGCATCTGCCATCATTGTTCTCTAGACTTCTACTATATCTCTCTAACGTGGTACATTTTTTTGATCAAACTTTCTTGTGCCTATTGAATTTTTAATGTTATTCTCTAGCTTTGCTTTTTTTCTTTGGGTTTTCCAATTTCAGGTTACTCTCGGTAGTCCCTTTTCCTTCTTTGGATATATCATATTCTTTTCTTTGAATATTTTACATAACCTTCGTCCAGTTCATCACCGCACCCACATCTTCATGGTACTTAATCTTTTTTTTTGTAAAATTCTGTCTATCTCCCTAGGTTCATATTATAGATTGCCATATCCTACAATTTTGATGTAAATATCTTTTTTTTTGTTTGCTTATATATATTTGGCCACCATACACTTTTTAATCTGTCTACTGATTTCTCTCCTTGATTTTCTGTGTATTTTTTCTTTTTATTTGTTTGTTATGAGGTATATATAATCCTTACATCCTTCTACTTTTTGTTTTCGTCATGTAAAACTCACTATACGCTTAAGATAGCTCTTAATAACAAAGTACATTATTTTGACAATTCTTTACGATAGTTTTGTAAAAAAAATTTATTTTAAAAATCCTTTATAAAAGGTTTATTGATATAAAAACCCTATCGGGCTAACACAGAAGATTTTCGTAATGATTATTCCATCATCAGTGCTTTTACTAGGTTGACATGTTTAAAGCCACCAAATACATGGGTAAAAAACCCTTTAAATGGAGTTAAATTAATTTTAGGTTACATTTTTGATGATAAAATTCTAGATGTGAAAGTTATAGACATAATTTACTTCATGGCAACTTCGTGACTCCAACACTGGGGTTGCTGGCCCTTAGACGAGGTGTCTATTACGACTTCTGATAGCAACTAGAGTTTTATAAAACGCTTTAAACCAAATATATCTTCTTTTTCTTTTTTACCTTCTTATTAGAAAATTCTGCCTGTTTCTGTTTCCTTTGATTGTGATCCAAGGAAACATTTCCTAGCAGATCTTGTTTCAGCCGTGTATGTCAATATTGGCCTAATAGTCATTTTGTAAATTCTTTTCTGAGTTTCGACATCCTAGATATTTAGACCTCCTACTGCTTTATTGACTTGCTGTATTTTGGTTTTTTACTTCTGTCGTCATTATTTTCTACTTAAAGTATGACATCGTCTGCATAGCATCGATTACCATCTTATACCTTTTTACTCTCTTCGCGGTTTTAATTATTTTATCCATTATGAGATGGAGAGGAGTCTTAAGGAGTCTCCCTGCCTTATACCTGTGCATATGTCTTTTTCCTCTGCCATTTGTCCATATATTCTGCCCTGCAATTTATTGTCCTTGTTGTTTATCCTCATATTATATCGGTAATTAACTTTGCTTAAAACTTTTACGTTAGTTTCAGCATGGTGTTTAATAGATTGATTCCTCTATAGTTTTTCTTTCTTTTATGCCACCTTTTTAAACATCAAGATTAGTACGCCCTTTTTCCATGCTTTGGGTACTTTCGTTGCATTGTAATATGTTGTTAATGAGCTGCGCTAGTTGATCTGTCATAATTATTTTGAAATAATTTAATAGCTCTTTAGCCAGGCTAATGCTATTCTGTCCATGCCTGTAGCTCTTTTGTCTTTTAACTTTCTTTGTGCCTTCTCCACTTACACTGTGCTTATACTGGTTTGCTCATTAGTTGTAATTCTCGGTTGTTCTGATTCTGCTGGTAACCAAAGATATTTTAATAACAAAAATATTAATAATTATAATATTCATTTTTAAAGATAATTAATTAAAATGATAACTTAATAGTACTCAATGTGCATTTTTGAGCTAATTTTTGTATGAATGTAATTTCAGGAGGTCAAGAAGGAGGAATTGGTGGTGGTCACGGCTATGGCCATGGTCTTGAATCACAAGGGAGCGCCTTAGGCGGACACGGAGCAGGCTTAAGTGATGGCGGTATCGATTACTCAGCATCAAGTCACGGACTTGGATCATACGGCGGTGGCGGTTTCGACCAGAACTCCATTTCGCAAGAGGGAGGACACGACTTCAGTGGAGGCCTAGGAGCAGAAGGAGGTGGTTACGAAAGTGCGGGAAGCGCAGGACACGGTGGCTACGAATAAACCTTAAGTAGTTATTATTATTTCTTGTTACAAGTACCAAGACTAGTCTTCTTTGTTTTTGTTGTTGTAATAGTTGTAAATGTTTTTGTGAATATTCATGTTTGAAGTTGCAAAATGTACTGAGGATATTTTCTAAAAATATTTGCAGGTATTATGGTTGTTGTATAATATTATTTATTAGTTGTTAAGCTGTTACTTCTGTACCTAATAAAGCTATTTATGTTTCTCTTATAAAATGCTTTTTATTACAGTCTTCTTCTTCCCTTTATTCGCTTTATTTAAATGTTTCGTCTAGCCATAGCTTGTGCTTAAAACTTTTGCCCCTCGTCTATACAATTGTGCGAAAAAAAGTTTGAACGCAAGTGATAATTTGAAGAGGAAGTTAGTTTAGATGAAAAAAATTCTTTAATCGTGATCCATTGCCATTTATAAGTAGACTATGTCTTCCTGCCAATGATATTACGTACTCTGAACCTACTGGCGTTTATATCCCCTAATATTATTTTGATATCATGGACATAAGTTTATGTCTAGTTGATTTAGTGTATAGTAGAATTCATCTTTATCATTTTCTGATGCCTCTTTTGCATCAGAAAATGATGAAGATGAGTTGATGAAGAAAATGATGAGAATATGGTTAAATTGGATGAGTTTCCTTAATATTATAATACAGATTCTTTTATTGGTATATTTAAAGTCTAATAGGTCTAATTGCGGTATTTCGTTTATTACAAAGCCACCAAGTGATCCAATCTCTTTAGAAAAAGGTGGCTTCATAACATCGTCTTCAACGGATGTTTAACTATTTTATAAATAGGAGTTGTCATTGAATTTCATTGTCACTTAGGCTAACAAAACAATATCGCTTGTCTTGTATCAAAAAACAACTCTCATCTAAGAATATCACTTCTCACTAATTTTCAACAGTACAAGTCAGATACTTTTTGACAAATTGTATGGTTTCTGCTTGTCAGCAGATATCATCAGGTTTTTTCATCCTGATTGTTTTTCATATACATTCTGAAAGTCCTGTTTGTAAAGTGAAGTTATCGACAATAATTTCAGCTTGTAATAAGATTTTTATGATTTGTGGAAATTATTTTATCAACTATAATATTACTACAGTATTATTTTCTGTGTGTCCCTTGATTACACATCCACTTTCACCCCTGGACAGGAGAGTAAATGGCTAAAATCCAGAAAATTCGTTGAAAAACCTTAAGGTTTTTCTGGTTGGTGAAAACGGTTTTGTGGAACATAACTTTACCATAAATCACCGTATAGATATAGATTTTATCATACCTTCACTCCGGTGGTGAAAGTTGGACATAAGTGGCTAAAAATAAGAAAACTTGCTGAAAATCGATGTAAAGGATTTTTAACGTTTGTGAAAAAGATTGTATCAACCATACCGTTATGTTTTCCTTTATCATCCCTCCATATCCAGCCCAGAAAGGGAAAGTGAGAGCCTGAAATTCATAAAATTTACTGAAAAGCTTTGTAAAGGTCACCAGCCGCTTTAGCATTATAAATTTATTAAAAATCACCGTGTAGAGGGTTTTTCTTTACTATTTCTTTACTCCATTGGTGAAAAATGTAGGTAAGTGGGTAAAAACAAGAAAACTTGTTAAAAAAACTTTGTAAACGATTTTCATGGTTGACAAAAATAACTTTGGCAGCCATAACATTATCACAATTACTTTTTTCGTTCTTTTACTTTATCACTGCTTCACTCCTTCAGTCTCCAAATCGTTTAAAAAGTTGGTAACATATGGTGAAATGACTGACACAAAATTATCATTGTGTAGAGAGTGCGTAAGAGAATGAGCGACCCCAAACTTTCATCACCGAAGTGTAGGAATAGAAAAAGCGAAACTCTCTACATGGTTATGGTATCCTAATAAACATTTCCTGAATCTATATTCTCTTTATTTAAAAAAATATATATACCGATATTATGATTTTTCTTTTAGATATAACAAAAATAATTGAGGTAGAGCAAACAGTTATCAATTATTTAAAAATGTTATATTTTACCTTTTATTTCAATCCCAATAATCAGTGATGCTGGTCTTGTTATATATATTTTTCTTTAACTTGTATAAACCAAGATGAATTTCAGGATTTTTGGGAAATCAACTTTCCACACCAGCTGCTCCTACCAATATGCAATACTTACAATACCAATGCTGGATAAATAGAAGATAAAAAACACAACTGTCAACACTACCGTTCTACTCTCTAGAAGCCTTCCATCGCAGAAGAAGTCTCTAATATCATCAAAAAGCTTTATAACTTGAAACCTCCTGGACCAGACAAAGTTCAAAACTTAAGACTGGCTTAAGAAGTTCTGAAGAGCTTATGAGTGCTTATCAACACTATTAATCATGTTATTTCTAATCCGCAGGAAATACCATCATTCCTAACTCAGAGAACAACTTAGTTAATACCGAAGAATCAGAATAATACCCAAGATCCAGCCAAGCACCGGCCGAATACTTGTCTTCTAACTTTATATAAATTGGTCACATCTTGTTTAGCCAAGCATATCTACCAATACTGCGCTCTAAACAATATTATAGAACCCCTAGTCATTTTGACCAGGCATACACAAAAAAAGGAACCTCTTCAATAACTTTATTGACCACAAAAAGCATTTGATTCAGTGCTAAATGAATGGCTTGCAGATATATTAAGAATACAATAAAGTCGATGATAATATAGTGATCTTAAGACATATTCCAATGGGACTTGCTGAATCCATTTTGGTTTTGTCTAGCGATGAAAGGTTTTAGCATTAAAAACAATAATACTGTAGTGGCAAAGCTTAATCATCTGTTCTGTCAACTGCAAGACCCAGTACATCTACCTGCCTGCTTTGTGTTGTAGAAACTCTTCACGGAGATAGATCTTTTGCATATACTCTTCTAGGGCGATTCAGACCGCCCTTTTTTTAAATAAACAAAATTTGAATTTATAACAGAAGCTGCCTTAACTAATATCGGTAAAACTAAACGCTGTAATAGACAACCAGTGCCTTGGTGGACCAGCGAAAATCGCACTAGCTTATCTATAACAAAACGTGCGTTTAATTAACTTTAAAAATCATAATACTGAAGAAAATTTATTTAATTTTAAAAATCTCAGAGCAAGAATCGAGATATCTCATAAAAAAAGTAAAAGAATTACATGGGAAAATTATGTCTCTTCTATAAAGTCATCGACCCCTTCAGCTGTCATTTGGTCTTAAATTCGTAAACCCAAAGGTTCTAACTTTTTTAGACAAATAAACTCCGTAACTCTTGGTTAAACAATAATTACTTGTAACAAAGCTATTGAAGAAATATTTACTGATATTTATCAACAAAATTTTAGCAATAATGATATACCTCAGGAAATGTTAACGCACAAGGAAACTATAAAATCCTCTATTATTACCATAAGCGATACAAATAATGCTTTAAACATCACTATAACTCTTCAAGAATTAGAATTTGCGATTTCTGATTTAAAAAAGGCCTGGGCTGAACCAGATGACATACCATTTACAGCTAAACTAGTTTTACTAGATTTATTTATTATTTGTTTTCTAAAACATAAATTTCCCGATCTTTGATCTAGGCAGTAATAATTCCCTTCATCAATCCAAATAAACCTAAAGATAAACCCACTTCTTACCGCCTCATCTCGCAACATGGATCAACTTAGTCTATTGCTATATACAAATGCAATCTCTTCTCCATGGACAACCTGCACTACCATTGACCTTAAATTAAGAAAATATCCCGAAATCATATACAAACTTCTCTATAATTTAATATCTTTTTGCAGAAATCATATCCCGTTACCCCAACTACTTACAAATCTTTACCGACGCCTCTAAAACCCTAGATGGACATGCTGCTGCTTACTATTCTGATGAAGAAAACTCCTGCAGCATACACTTACCTAAAAATTAGAGTATAAATACTCACAGGCGAGACCACAGCTATTTTAAAGGCCTTAACTTTTTTAAAAACAATTAACACGATGAAGTGCGTCATCATTGAGATTCACTTAATGCGTTATTGAAATTAAAGTAAATGTATACAAGAAATCCTATTATACAAACAATTAAAAATGAATTAAAAATACTTCATTCCATGGGAAAGGACACAGCTTTCATTTGAGTACCATCGCACACTGGAATCTGGGGAAATGAAAAAGCAGATCAACTAGCAACTGCAAGCCGTATCAACATAAAGATCATTGCAATAATATTTGGCAAAATTAACTGGGAAAATTACAGTAACCAAATTAAACCCACTATGCCCAAAGAGCTATGATCACAGTAATTATAAACCCTTTAAGAATTGGTCATACTTCTGTCACACACAAATTTTTAATCAGTAAAGATCCACCGCTTATTTGTAATGAACTGCTCCACGTCATTGACAGTGAAACATTTCCTGCTTAACTGCACTTGTTTCCAAAATCAAAGAAGAATGCATAGAATTTCAGAAGACCTCAAATCCATCCTGATTATTAAATATATAATAATTTAAATGTATTAAATTATTTAAGAGATATAAAATTGATTTATATTATTTAATGTTACATTGTCGTATTAAAAAGTCTTGTGTTTTATCATCCCACTAATAACCCTGCGTGGTTGATGTGGTATAAGTATTTTAAATAAATAAAAAAAAATTGAATTGACATTACATGTAAAGTAAAATAATTATTTCTTCATATAAATTTCTTATACCTTTATTATTAAAATTGTTTTCAATATTAAGACATATTAAGACAGAAACAAGGGAAAAAACAAAAAATTATACATATTTTATTTACCTGGTAATATTGTAGAAATTCATAAAAAAGTAAAAATTAATATACAAAAGGAAACTAAACTATAATATTTATAAATAAAAAATAATCTAATATTCCGATCTTGTTCTTTCATCGTATACATTACGCAAAACAAAATTTTCCAACTGTTGTTTACCAAAATTATACGT